CATTATTTGAATGGTGCATCTGCCAATTATCAGTGAAAATACTGAGCAGTAGGAAAAAAGTAGCATCATAAACTGAAATATTAAATGCTTTTCATATACGAACAGAAAAATATGGACATCGGTCCTGTAGCATTTGCAGGTGCTCACGTTCGTAGAATTTTTACAGGTTTCCGTCGGGTCAAAAAATCATCTTTATTGCCAGATGTTGCCCACGGAAGACACATAAATACAAGATCAATAACACGAAGCCGACGAAGCAGATGATGATATCTCGAAAGAGCGAAAGTGCCTATGTCACGGACGACAGTACAGTGACATATCAAGGAAATTATGGACTGTCACTGGGGCACCTGATGTAGTATAGTGTTCATTTCACAAGCGTTGATATGCCTTAAAAATTCAAAGTCTAGTAGATCTGGGTTTGAAGATACAAAAGGACAGGAATAAGTCCTTTCTCCGACATGACAGCTATTATATACTGTTTTGTAAAAATAAACAATCATTTCTCCATTGAAATTTCAGCATACTCCTACGTATTCATACACCACATGCCTTCTGTCGTTCCAACCCTTAGGTGCTGTTGTGCTTAAACTTTTTACTTTATTTTGTATTCTTGTTTGTAGCTTTTTTAATGGCCTTGACATTCGTGATCTTGGTGTAACGCTTTAATCAGAACGTAACATTTTTCCAAAGTGTCGCAATAATTAAAGTTATAATAGAAACTCAAAAGGGTATTCAGAAATGTGTGGCTTCCTGGATAGGTCCTCTACCGTGACGAAAAATGTAGAAGACCTAAATCTAAATTATAAATCAGTGTAAATTCGCGTATATTTGAACCTTGTCGCATTGCAATGTGCTGGAATTAGGGCGCTCAGATTGAATATCGTATTCTGCGCATGTAATTCAGGCAAAAGAAAGTTGGGGGTTTCTGGTTTTTCTCTGCAGAGTAGGAAATAGAAAACGTTTAACTCCCGTTGGCGAGATTTCCTCCAAGATCCTTTCTAAAATTTACCTCAATACGAGCAGTCTCATGCGTTACCTGAAACAAGTGTCATGTCAGGTAAATTGAATAACTCTGTTTTATTCAACAACATCCAACTATTAAAATTCAACAAAAAGGGCGGCATGAAAGTAGCAAAACCGGTTGCTAGAAACGGCAATAAGTCACTCCCCGATGCATAATCGTTGGCACAGTTCTTCTGAAAATTGCGGACGAGATTCTTGTAAAAGATTGTGCCATAGGTGCCCTGGTGTACGTTATTCATCCCTCCGGGCGCTCTGCTCGCAGTATAGGGAGCGCTCTTGTCTGCCTGGTTTGCGCTAACCCGCTCCCACGTAGTTCGAGCAAACGGTTACTGGAAAATGAAAAGTGGCTGAGCGCAGAAGCCTCGAAAAAATAACAGAGATCAGGGCTCCGGCCGTTACAATGGGTATAATGAAGTTTGTTTGCCGACTCCTTTGATTTAATCAATTTTTGTTGGGATGTGGGCTCCAGGTTTATGTTCACTAGGTGCGTTTCACGCCATAATAAAACTCCCGCCCGTCACATTACACAAACAAAGTTCCTTTGAAGGGTTAAAGTTGTTCGATCAACACACTATTTTTTTGCCGATTTATACTTCAGTTGTGGCGGAATCAAACGTAGAACCATGCACTTT